AACCTTACCTACTAGTAAGTAATAGTGTTAAGTACTATTATTGTATTTAGTTAGGTACGATTTATTACTTGTGTGTGTGTGTGTGTGTGTGTGTATATATATATATATATATATATATATATATACCCTTTTCCTTTTTCAGATGCAACTTTACATAATTAGGACTAAAAAAGAAGGGTGAAATGCAGATATTTATTTGACTTTTTTTTTTAATAAACTGATTGTAAAATTTTTGTCCATATCTTCAACATTTCTTGGTTATGATGCTTCTTTTTTTTTCATAATATTAAAAAAGCATTTTGTTTTTTATTATTACTTTTGTTACACTGGTTTATTAAATTGGCATGTAGAACCTCTATAGAAATAGTAGAAATTAAAAAAAGTTTAGATAACCGTACAGGTTTCTTGGAATTCAAGTACTATCATTTTTTGAATCAAGTCACAGTGAAACTGTGATAACTCTAGGGACATACCAATTAATCACAAATTAACATATTAGTTACATAAAATGAAAACACAAGCCAGTTACATTGTCTGTTAAGTGCTTATTTTTCTGAGAAACTGGTTTTAGACACAAAAAAGTTTAATACTGTCATGTACCTTCCAAGAGCAAACCAGTGCATATGTAACAAACTGCACAATAAATCTGGCAATAGAATATGTTATAAAGACTTTCAAAATATAAGCTGAATTTAATGATTAGCACTTCCTAAGACTAATATTTTGCTTTCCAGTAAAGTTGTAAGTGAATTATATCTTTTAGTCTCATATCGAGGACTCTGAGCAGTTATAAACAAACATTAAAAGGCCTAATAATAGTTTAAAAATGTGGTATTTTCAGTTTGGAATTGATTTATTGATGACTGCTTTACAGAATGTTCTGCAATAATGGCAGATTTCTCCAGAAAAATTACGAGCTTTCTTGTGATTTAAGTTTTTAAACTGAGTTTTTGTGTCATATTGTTTATAAATAAACAAGCAAGAAAATTTAAATAAACAAACAAAATCTTTATTCAGCCAATAAAAAAGTAAGAAATCTCATCTTGTATACTCATTAAATGACAAAGTCCTCACTCCTTGCTAGTTAGCATTCTTGTTCTTGAAAGGCACTTTACCTTGGAATTCAGTGCTACAACAGCAAGCACAAGCAGCAGAAAAAAGTTTTTCCTGATAAAGTAGAAGTGAACTTGACCTAAAAGTGTGCCTTGATTTTGAATATCATCTTGCTTTTTGTCCAACAGCCAGTATCATCTTGTGACTTAAGTTCCCTAACAGCTGATCAGCTATCACAGTCAGTTGGCTTCATTTCATAGTTTTGCCAGCAATGGATATTCCATTTCTAACCAGTATTACTCAGACTTAAAATACAGACTGAAATATCTTTGCAGTCAGAAGATGTCATCTAATGAAAGAACAGTGTTAAGGCAACTAGAATAAGATAATGTTAAACACCTTCGACCACGTGTTGTCATCATGAAAGAATGTAACAGTTTAATAGTTTTAAAAAAGTACCATTACAGATGGTAGATAGGCATGGTTTACCTGGGTACCATCCCTTCCATCTCTCTCTCTCTTAGGCTTGTCCTCAGGCGAACAGTTAATATTAACTTTAAATCCAATCAGCTTTAAATTGCAATGTTATCTAGAAATTTGTTAAATTTACCTTATTCTTCAAACACTCACACAAGTCTTAAACGTCATGAAAACCCTTTTAACACTACACAAAAAAAGAAAAAGAATGGCCATCACAAAATGACGATAATAATAATAATAGTTATAAAAACATTAGTAAAAAACAAAAAATGATGATGAAATGACTACAACATAAAACACTATTGTAAGTATGCATTCACAATAACACCAAAATATACCTTAATCTTCTCACTTTAGTAGTGGGCAGACGAACACGAAAAAAAAATATATATATATAATCCACTTTTAACCTTTAACTTGGTCATGATTATTGACAGAAAGAAGGTAAAAAATATACTTTAAAATCAAATTAATTTCATCCTAAAGGAAAAGGGGTTTATTTTCATATATATGTATATGTAAAAGGAAAATGTTGATATAGACTGGCCATTTTCCACTAATGCACATATATGTGTTCACTAAAAATTGCACATCCCATTTTTATTTTATTTTTTTCCAATCATTCATGTAGTAAGTTAACACTCGTGATGTATATTATATACACTCACACATAGAAGAGGTCAAGGCTTCACTCACTCATCATAGCCCTACCAACGGTTTTCAACATCTACTTTTGATTGTCCACCCTGAGGTCTGCTTACATTCCCTTCACATCTTTCTTGACATTGGCATATGACCTCCCTCTGATATTGCAATGGAGAGGTATCTCTTCGCCTTAGCCAATCTTCATCATAGTTGTAGAGCACAGGCATTTCAATATTGTGATCTGTTGTAATGTGAGCCAGCCCTTAATCACCTTTGGTTGCCTTTTGAGGAGATTCACTCTTGGCCACTTCTGGGATGTCTCCCTCAGCTTCTTCTTCAGTGGAGTTCCTGAGATGACTATGGCATATTTCTGATAAGTCCTCTCACTGGTCCCAGCCCTGGAGGTCAAAGGTTCTTCATTTACTGCTACAAACAGTAAGCAAATTGTCTGGCTTGCTGGAATCACTGCTGGCTTGTCTGCCATAGTTTTATCTCACTTTTTGGTTCAGCTTTAGTCTGTCTTACCTTATTCTTCCTGGGACTTGGCCACCCCTCAGGATGTACCCTTGTCTAGGAAGGTCTTCAGTTTCAGCGTGAAATGGTTTCTCTGCAGATATAAACACGTATGTCTGTTGTTTTTCAAGTTGTGTCACACCCTGCAATAGGATAGACTGCCTGCAAGTCTTGACCTTCATGGTCTGTGCTGGCAGTGATACACGTCTCTGCTGCTTAGTTGACTTTCAACCCTTATTCATGTGACCATCTCCCATTAGCAAAAACCCTTTGTTTTCTTTCTCCATAGTGCTATCGTGCCTCTTACTGTAGATGAAGTCCTGCACATTTATAAGTTGTGAAATTTCGTAACTTGAAGTTAATTAGTGGTCCATTATTGTGTGAAAAAGGGGATGCCTGGTTCTGATATTAGATGCAGCTGATTTGCAGAAGAACTCAGATTGTGATTCCAAAACTTTATCTTAAATATCGGAAGTCAGAGTTCATATATAAAAACTGATTGAGCTCTAATTTGTCAAAAGTTCAGCCGAGAGTGTAGCATAAAGGGGGTTGTAATTTCCATGTACAACCTTGAATGAAATACTTGTCAAATAAAATGCCTACAGACTTAACGTATACTCGCATCCATAGATCATGGGTCTCCATTCAAACAGATACCTCTGGCAATACTTACCAATCTGCCACCACTGGACAGATGATGCATTTATACCATATTCTCCAATTCAACCACTTTCTCTGGCCTACAACATGGTTGTCATACAGACAGCACCTCCATCTAGCAGTAGGGAATGGGGTAGAGGCTACATGAGTTCTACACAGTCTAGCACGTTTCAAAACTGTATAGTAATCCCTTGATAACTCGGCATCCTTAGAAAATAATCAGGCTTTCTAACTATGCGAGAAGAGTTCTTACAAATTCTCCCAAGCAACTGGAGGCAGTTGAGCAGTTGCATGATTTGGAACAGCACCATGCAACTTTGAGAGATATCAGGGCAGATGTCATCAAGCGTCAGTACAACCCGGAGAAAACATCTGACTATTTTAAACCCCTGTCAAAAAACCCAGACGAAATATTCCTTCTACTAGTAGTGAAACCTCCATAGGTGTCCTCAGACAGTGAATAATTTATTTAAATTAATGTAAATAAATAAATCTTTAATTTCTAAGTTAGTAATTTAGTGTATTCAAATAATCTTTAATTTTTAAGTGTTTAAGTAGTGTAAAGTATTTACCAAAGTGTGTTAAGCCTTCCTACAATCACCGCTGTCACCTACCACATGGCACTATAAACTTGAATCCTCATCTTTCTTGGCCTGCAGTGCTGTTAGTTTCCAATGTATTTTAAAATTAAATTTATTTTCAAACAACGGATTGTATAGTTGTTTATTTGGGCCAAAAAATATTTTGATTTGAGGGTGTGAGGAAATTACCTCAATAACTTGTATATTTTGATAACTCGACATGGAATTAGTCCATATGTTCCGAGGGATTACTGAATTTTGTAACGGCGCAACATTAAGAAATTATTAAGTAAAACTTTGTTTATTAAAAACATCTTTGTCTGCCTGATTGGGGATATTCCTATCATTACCATATAAAATGCTAGACACCTCATATGTATAATTTTTTCATGATATTTATGCTGGTGTTTGTCGATTTCATGCAGTTTCAATAACTTGGATATTTTATTGTGAGCAAATCAAAATCCTTACACTATGCTCTTGAGAAACACCAGATAACACTGTGCCAGAACCACAAATCAAATAATTTCTCATAACAAAAGGAATCCTATATATAAACAAATGATACACGACATCAATAAGTTTATTGTCGCTATGATATATGTGTCATGCCTGCCATATAAACATTAAATTACATCAACAGCTTGCATGCAACTGTATATGTATGTGTGTAG